GACTCCCCATCGTTCCGGCTTCGGTGTTAAGTAGACCAGGCTTGAAGAGGACAGGGGTCCTGAATCATACATTGGCTGGCCTACAGGCAACAATTCAAGACTCGTACCGAATTGAACGTCACTAAGTCACACTAATCCAAAGGGGAGGCTAAAGCGTGGTCACATCCCACCATGGCCGTGATCAACACCAAAAGTTTTAGTCTTTCACCTTATATAGGTAAGGGTAACAAAGAGCCCAGTTTTCAGGTGAATCAGGTAGTTTCTCTGTTGGTAGGAGGTGATACATCAGTCAGCATAGGTGCAGTTTCGTCAGAGGGCGAAAGACTTGCTGGAACAGCATACTACGGGAAAACTCAAACAAAACGATTCGCAACGATTATTAATATTGACGATTCCCGCTTGGTTCCCCCTTCCTCGACAAACAAAACGATTCCCAACGATTATTAATATTGACGATTCCCGCTTGGTTCCCCCTTTCTCGAATGGAACATCGAACGGACATTCCTCAAATCGTTCTGAGTGTGCCGATGCCGTTAAGCGCTCAGCTAACAAAATTTCGAAACAACAAACATAATTCAGCAAATATACGAACAAAATAACAAGTGTGTGTGAGAGTAAACAGGCGGCGACGACCTGTATAGAGAGATAGAAGAAGATAGCGCATTGAATGAGAGAGCAACTGTGACTCACTCGAGAGCTTTCTGAAGTGTATTTTGGATGACCTACACGGATAAATTCATGTGTCGTCATGGGGATAAGAAATACAGGAGAGTGGGAAGGAATTTGGTATTGATTAGTTTCCTCTGGGATGGTGAACATCTCCCAATTCTGTTCAGGAATGCCGAGGTACTTCTCAACGCGCAGGGCTTACAAATGGCTTCAAGCCGTTTGTAAGCCCTGCGTTCAGACTGCTATTCTACACTTTCTAGCAGCTCTGTAGCATACTGAGATCATCACCCGGACAGAAGGCTGACAGCCCTGGCTGAGATCTGGCTAAACCCCTCCCTTGACAGATTTACAAAGCTACGATCACAAAAATAAATCAGCATTTGCACAATTTAATTATAACCCTGGTTGCAAGAACCTAGAACAGGACCAGCCCGTGGAGAATGCAGGACTGGTTTGGCCTGAGGATTGTTTTTGGGTTCAATATAAGTTAAACGACTTACATTTCTACCTTAGGCGTTCCCGTGATCATGCCATTCTGGATCACCTTCGCCTCATCGCGACGAAATGACCCCATTACCTCTGCGCAAAAGAGTTACCGGTAAAAAAGCCGAATTGAGATGGATCGATATCATCAAGGAAGGACAAACTACAGGTAAACACCTGAACTCCAAAGTAACAGAGAAAATCAATTGACTTTTAAGGTAGGAAGATGCACAAGAGGCATTCCAGGATAGGTCATATAGTCGGTACAATCCCAACCTCCTTGAAGCTTTGGTAGGAAGTTCAACATCCGACTCAAACGAGTTCAAAATTAGTGTTTACGTACGCTTTTTAATGAGTCCCCGATCCTTTTGGAAAGGTTTAGAACGATTCCGTAGTCCCTGTTTAACACTGGGTAGTTTTTGAAATCGCATCAAATGTTCCGGGACACACAGTATAATAGCGTCCCTAGGAAAGGGAAGGGTCCTCTGAATATATTTGGAACCAGTCGGCTTCCCTTCTGACCAGCCCTTTCAATGTGGTGATGCCAGAAACTGACCGCGATGGCCCCCTCTCTTTGGCGTGTTTCCTCTTTATGTTGGCCACTACAAAGGGGCTTACGACGACATCTTCCCATTACAAGGCAAACATCGCTGTCCCTATTGACACCCAACAACCACAAAGCAAGCCATTCATCGTAGAAATGCATCCTGAACCCTTTGGTCAACTGTTTGAAGTTATTCTTCAAGATTCTTTGAGTACGATCAAAGTGGGGCCGATTGGAAAGACTAAGGGAAAGCCGTACAGAGGCAGGAATGATATTTTTTGAGAGTACGATTGCCGTAAAGGGTACTCTTAATCAGGGATTCCAAAGCTGGTTCCGAACTGTACTTGTTGTGTTTTTTGACGAAAAGTGAAACTTTTGACTTCTTTCGCTCCTAAAAATCTAGCAGATACTCAAGTTCTATGTTCTCTGAGTCTTCTTGGGCAACAATTTTCCGACTCAAAATCCTTGAGAGTAAAAAGAGCTCAATTTTTGTAGATGGACCTATTCCCTGAGAAAGCCATTCGTACTAAGATTCCGTTCAGCCCTTCAGATTTTTTTATTTATTGATTTGCTCACTTATTCATTTGCACAGTAGAAAAATAAGCGCTCGAGCCGAGTTTATGTAAAAAGGGTCCTGTTGGAAATGTTCTTGATAGGGTAAATGGACTGCCGCGTGTTTGATAGGGTGAATGGCCCGCCGATTCTTTTCAAACGAGGTTTTCCGCCTGTTGGATGAGACCGTTACCGTCTGGTCAATACAAGGTAGGAGAAAGTTGAAATTTTGGTGGGTCTGAGCGAGTCTCAAAGGAGAACAAGCAAAAGCTTTATCATAATCGCGTATTAATTTGATTTTTGGAGCTTGCAGGCGCTTTAGCGAATTTCCATCTCGAAGTTCCATCCGAATCTTTGTTTAGGGGGAGTATAAGAAGTAAGCGGCCATTTCACAGTCCTTCCAGGCAAGGAATGTTTTTGTCGAGAAAAAAGTTGCAGCATTCATCAACCGCCCGTGGTTGATCGTCAACCCCGTTCAGCGCTTTGGAATTTTCCATGTTATGACGAAAAAGATTAGCATTTAGATGTGGCTCTGCCATCAATCCTGATGAGAGCCATATGGCTTGAGCCATTTTACTCAAAAAACATTACTGGCTCAAGTCGAGTCGGTTCCGTTCCCTCGTTATCCGTCCAAAGGGCGAATGTATAGAACCTCGTTTGTTCTTGTGAAATTTTCGTGGGTGTCTCGTGTGTAATCAGATAGCTTGCCCCTAAATTGGAACATGAAATTTGATCGAGTCGGTTGGCCAAAATGGGCGTGAAACCTTGGCAACCATTATAGTAAACGGAGATATCAATTTAAACCGATATAAAAAGTAAGCTTGGTAAAGTACATTCCTGGGATAAACTGCCTCAATTGTAGGCCCCAGTATGCGCCATGTAGCAGGATCTTCTTCCGATTCAAAAGGACGTGCAATCGGAAATGATTCCAGATTTCAACTTTAGAGAATAGCATCGAAATGCTACCCACTGGAGCGACTCCAGCTCATTTGGTCTACTCTACTTTGAGAATCAAGCTATTACCCATACAATGTACTGAAATGAGGTACTATCTAGTAATAACCACCATCAGTTAGAGTAATAGCGATACGATTTTGTTAGTACTGTCAAAAATGAATTAACATACTGACTTTGACAGCCCATGATGGATTATGACCGATTAGGGGTCATGCGTGAGGGCCAGGTGCTAAGCAATGACAGTTGGAAAATCGAAGTAAGCCGAAAAAGATGAAAAAACGAAAAAATGGAGATCAACACCAAAATTCGAACTCACTCGTCTTTGAGATCGTAATTCCTTTCGATGACAATGTCTTCCCTCACGTTGTCCGCAGCAGTCTCACTTTCTTCATCGTGCTGAAAATCACCAGATGGTTTACTGATCGTGCCTGTCACCAATTTTCACCTCGTCGGCCCCTTCCAGCATCTCTTTTTCTGGGACCCTTTATTCCTTTCGTCTCCCATTTGATTTCAAATTCGTCACCACCCGATCTTCC